TTGAGAGATGGTGGACGAAACGGATTCATAGAGAATCTTACCGTGAACGTTGTCTCATACCAGACGGGGTATGGAGAGTTGGTCATTTGGTGCTCATACCGGACTGAGTATGTGGACGGCCCGCTTCACCCTCATACCGGATGAGGTATTGAGATTTATTGTTTTGGTGCTCATACCGAACGAAGTATGGGACGGCCTTGGAATTAAGATTGTTTAAAATGAATGGTTCACGTGTAGCGAGAATCTATAGACGGGGTATGGAGACTTGGTCATTTGGCGCTCATACCAGACGGGGTATGGGGACGGCCCGCTTCACCCTCATACCGAACGGGGTATTGAGGTTTATTATTTTGGCGCTCATACCGGACGGAGTATGGGGACGACCCTAGAATTAAGATTGTTTAAAAGGAATGGTTCACGTATAGCGGGGACCCCTATGGATCTCCATGGATACTAGTAGGTTGGTGAAAAATGAGAAACGGTGATAATTAGTTATTGTTAATGAATACGGGTTTATGATGTATTTTATGTTACTGATTATGTATGAAATTGTGATCTGTATGATGTTATTGTCTTTATAGGTTGTGTTCACAGGTTCTCCAAGGGTAAGAAAAAAGGTAAGTAGTTTTATTTTAAATATTGGTTTAAAATTTTTGCTCCATTGGTTGTTTTCGATTTTCTACAAACATTTGCTTCTATGACGGTAATATAGTGTGATCTCCTTATTGGGTTAGTGTAACTCATTTTTTATTTAACAATTTCAGATCAGGAGAATCTGGTTTCCGAGCCCGATCCACAAGAAGATGACGAGTAGATGTTAGATACTTTATAATTTCCTTTATTTTTTTCATCTCTCGTGTTTCTTTTAGAGAACTTATTTCGTGATATTGTTTAGTACTTTTAAGTTATTGTATAAGGGATGTTAATTTTAATATTTTATTTCGCTTCCGTACTCAAATTATTATATGTATTTCTTTTTAAATTTCCGAAACCGTTACATAAATTTTTTTTTTGTTT